GGTGCTTTTAGATGTACCGATAAAAAAATTATTCATTTATTCTATGATATTTGCCACAAGTTCACTTTGAGACAAGTTGTAACAATGTTTTATCAGAAACTTTGAAACTAACTGTATGCTTAACTCATAAATAATTTCCTTGCTAATCAGTTGAGTAACTGAATAGACGTGATAACCCAGGTGTAGTGGGTCGGAACGCGTGGGCTCGGTGTACCTGTACTTTTTTTCAAGATGGAATGCCGTACCACAACTATTTCGAACGAATCCCACCTTACACAGATATGCAGTAGATTTCACCTTCCAGTTATTCTTTATTTACACCACTGGTGATAACTCACTACTAAGACTGATCTGAATCACTCACTTATTACTCATTGGATACTTCACACTAACTAATTAACTGCTCATTACTTTACTTATTCTCGCATTTATATTGTACTTTTATTTATACGTACTCCTTTAGCAACAATAATAATAAAACAAAGCTAATCGAATTACAAAAGTATTAATTCGGTTTATTCAAAAGACCGAAAAACACGAGCGCTTTCGAGTAGTTAACTATTATCTTTTATTAATGCAAAGTACAATACTTTAATTGCAGTTTTTTTTTTTGCAGTCAAACCTATGCTTAAAATAATCAAAACAATAAGTATTATATTATCTCTAGACACATAAATAGATTATGTTAATGACTGTATCGACATTTATTAAAGTTTATTTACCTTTGGCTATTTTCAGTTAACTGGGGGTATATTCATTAGGAATAAAATAACACGAAGCTCTGCTTAACTTACGGCTGCAGCTGACTTTAAAAAGTTCATTTGAGGTATTTTGGAAAATGTCCCGATATACCCTTTTTAGTTTCACGTATTCTTTTGCGGTCACGTAAACTAAGATGCTGGAGTATGATGATTTTGTTTGTTTGTTGAATTTCGTGCAAAGCTATCCAAGAACTATTTACGATACCGTCGCTAATTTTGAAGCAATAAACGAGAGGAAAGACAGCTAAGTCAATAATACCCGCCACCAATTTTTGGGTTACTCTTAATCAACGAATAGTGTGATTGACTGTTACATTAAAATATCTCGGCTGAAAGGGCGAGCATATTCGGTAAGGGATTTTGATCCATGATCCACAGATTTTAAGTCGAGAGCCCTAACCACAAGGCCAATGCCAGGCCCTCAAATTAGGACCAAAACAAAAGGAAAACAAACTGTTTGTTTGTTTTGAATTTCGCGCAAAGCTACACGAGGGCTATCTGCGCTAGCCGTCCCTAATTTAGCAGTG